TCTTAAAGTTTACTCTCAGTTTCGAACCAAATTCTTTCAATCATCAACTGATATTATATACACGTTGGATATATAGAAGAAAAAATGTTTAGTTTTTCAGATAATTATGATTGCTTTTCTCGCCGCTGTGTGTGGGTTAATGGTCCTGTCATTGTTGGCGCCGGGCCGTCGGGGCTAGCGGTGGCCGCCGGCCTGAAAGAACAAGGCGTGCCGTTCGTCGTCCTGGAAAAAGCCGATTGCGTTGCATCTTTGTGGCAAAACAGGACTTATGACCGGCTAAAGCTTCATCTCCCTAAACAGTTCTGTCAGCTGCCGGAGTTTCCATTCCCAGAGAATTATCCTAAGTACCCCACAAAGAAACAGTTTATAGATTATCTTGAATCATATGCAAAAAAGTTTGATATCAATCCACTGTTTAATGAATGCGTGGAATCGGCTAAGTATGATGAAACGTGCCGTTTGTGGAGAGTTAAGACTGTGTCTATAAGTGGTGACGCCGCCGGGTCTGAGGTTGAGTATCTTTGCCAGTGGCTGGTGGTGGCGACAGGTGAAAATTCAGAGCCGGTGGTGCTGGAAATCGAAGGTTTGTCGGAGTTTAAGGGTGAAGTACTACACGCTTGTGACTACAGGTCTGGTGAAACTTTCCGGGGCAAGAAAGTTGTCGTTGTTGGGTGTGGTAATTCTGGTATGGAAGTTTGTCTTGATCTTTGCAACCATGACACCAAGCCATCAATGGTGGTTCGCAGCTCCGTAAGTTGTCCACTAATGTTTGATCATCTCGTCTAAAAGTTTAAACTCTAAATAACAAATTTCTTGTTAATTTTTCTTCAGGTCCATGTATTGCCAAGAGAAATATTAGGGAAATCCACATTTGAACTTGCGATGTTAATGCTCAAATGGCTACCTTTATGGCTTGTTGACAAGATTTTACTTTTTTTGGCATGGATGATTCTTGGAAACATGGAGAAATTTGGGCTAAAAAGGCCATCAGTTGGTCCATTGGAGCTCAAAAATACTCAAGGAAAAACTCCTGTTCTAGACATTGGTGCAATTGAAAAGATCAGATCCAGGGAAATTCAGTTAGTCCCTGGAATTAATAAATTCTCATCCTCCATGGTTGAGCTTGTTAACGGCAAAATGATTGAAATCGATTCGGTTATCTTTGCTACTGGATATCGAAGCAACGTTCCCTACTGGTTAGAGGTGAGAAAAATTTCTATCCCCCAGGATTAAATTTGATAGCATAATGAACAATATTTTAACTTAATTTATTTCTTTTTT